CTCTCTCTTCTTTCTTTTCTTTCTTTCTCTTGTTTTGGGTGATCCTACTTCTCAAAAGATGTTGGTAAAATTAATTAATTCCATGAATTTAGAATTCTCTTAAGTTACTGAGCCAAGAGTAAACAGTGAAGTTTTCTATAGTGCCAAGAGCTGAACTTTGCTGCTAGACCTTACCTAAAGACATGAATGTTTTGGGTTTTGTCCCCTGTGAGATATAAACAGCTTCTCCTACTCATCTGCCTAGGGACTGACCTCAAGGTAAACATCAGCCATGATAGCTCGGCGTTGATTCTACCCACAGAGGACATGAAAGATAACAGGACATTTTGTCTCAAGAATGTTTACTTTCACCCTCTGGTTTAGTTTCATGACTAGCAAACCTAAAATAATATTAAAGGTCTAACAATTTTATGGTATAATAATACCAGTACAAATCTGAACTTGTCAATTTTCTGTTGAGTTGAGGCGTTAGGATGACACAGAACTGGTCAGGATCAATGCTAATAAATGAGAGGAAGAAAAACTTAACCCTTATTCAGGGTTAAAACCTTTTAAATGAAGAACAAAGTTAAATGTAAGTCATGCTGGAGGGGAGTTATGGAAAGGTCTACTTCTTGCGATCTCAAATCCAGGAGCTCTACAGAAGTGGGTAGGTAACAAACTGGACAACAGGGAAGGAACAGCTCATTCTTCCTAAAGCTTCTCATTATTTGCCTTGCAGCTTAATTGCCCGTGTACAAATATATAACTCATTTGTCTTACATCTTGCTCAGAGAGAGAGAGATGAGACATTGTGCCCACTTTACAGAGGAGGAATTCCCAAGGCTTATCATCAAGATTTAATGCTCGCTACACTAGAATCCCCTGGAGAGTGTTTTTGTTTTTTTGAGACAGAGTTTCACTTTGTCACCCTTGTTAAAGTGCCTTGGTATCATAGCTCACAGAAACCTCAAATAGTTGGGTTCAAGCAATCCTCTTGCCTTAGCCTCCTGAGTAGCTGGGATTACAGGCACCCATCACAATACCTAGAATAGTTTTTAGAGATGGGGTCTTGCTCTTGCTCAGGCTAGAACTCCTGAGCTCAAGCAATTCACCTGCCTTGGCCTTCCAGAGTGCTAGGATTATAGGCATGAGCCACGGAGCCCTGACCCCTGGAGAGGTTTTAAGAATACAGATGCCAGGTGGCGCCTATAGCTCAGTTGGCAGGGCACTGGCCACATATACCAAGGGTGAGAGGTTCGAACCCCACCCTGGCCAGTTAAAAACAATGCAACTGCAACAACAAAAAAAATAGCTGGATGTTGTGGCAGGCACCTGTATTCCCAGCTACTTGGAAAACTGAGGCAAGAGAATCGCTTAAGCCCGAGAGTTTGAGGTTGCTGTGAGCTGTGACACCACAGCACTCTACCCAGGGTGACAGCTTAAAACTCTCT